GCCGTGGAGGCTGCAGGACCCCTGCCCTGTCCAACCCCCTCCCTGCATCCCTGGCGTGGTGCAAAGCCTGCAGGAGCACGAGGAGAGTGCCGTGGCCGTAGGGGTCTGTGCAAGGTCAGCATGTGCCCGGCATGGGCTGGCTCTGCTCCCTCCTCCCTCCTCCAGCCTGGTTTCCTAAGGCTTTCCCATACCAATACTTTTTTTGCTGGCTGCAGGGGTGATGCAGCACGGCACGCTCGTGCCTCAGTTTCCCCTGGCTGTACTTAGTGCTGTCTCCTGGCAGCCAGGGCTCTTGCAGGCATCAGCTGCGCTGCCCTCCTGTCCCCCGGCCATGGAGGTGCTTGGAGCCAGGGGCAGCAGGAGCATGGCCCTGCTGGGTTAGGGGATGTGGCGGTTGAGCTGGGGGAAGTAGCAACTTCCCGTTGATTAAACACCAAGCCCAGATCAAAGCGGCGAGGCTCAGTAAGCGTTAACGAACCTGGTTCATCACTGGCCTGCTTTTTTCTACTGGTTTGTCCAGGGTAGCCCAGACTGTCATGGCCCTCCCGGGCCCCCACGTAGCACGCAGCGGCTTTCAGCGCTGCATGGAAAAGCCACCCTTCCTTCTGTTGCTGGCTGCCCTGACACATCGATTGCCAGCAAGGCTGCAGTGCCTTCCAGCTGCCCTCGGTGATCACAGGGAGCTGCTCCGCATGCTGTTGGGCTTCATGGAGCAATGCTATTTGCTGGCTGCCCTGCAAAGACGGCTTTGGCAAGGGGGCGGCTATATTGTTGGAGGCTTTGCATTCCAGCCCATGCAAGGCAGCCAAGTCCCTGTGAGCTGGAGCTGATGGGGAAGGGGTTATCCTGGACACGGAGCAACATCCTTGGAGGATGGTGGCTGCTGAAACTTTACTGGGTCTGTCTTGCTGCAAAACCCAGGCAAATCCTGCAGTGTGCTTTGCAGCCCTGGCGACGAGTGCAGCGGTGTGGCATACTCGGTGGGCACTTGCTGGTGTTGCTGCTCCGGCATTCTCCCCAGGGTGGTAACTGGGTGGTTGTGATTTCAGCCCCGCTGTTGCGTGATCCTGGTGGAGAGAAGTGTCCCCCAAGCTTGGTCTCACGAGGGTGGGTGAAGTGAAGCGGGCTGCGTTTGAGTGCACCTGGAGAATGAACAGAATCAGCAGTGGGGAAATTAAAAAAAAAAAAACAAACAACACAACCAAAAAAACCCCAAACCACCAAAAAACACCCCCCTCAAAGACCTGTTGAGTCATAAACTCAACAAACTTGATAGGGGAGCTGCGTGATAAAGCTTCCCCAGAGCCTGTTGCACCAGGTTTTACAGGAACCAGCCAGCTCTGGGACAGGCAGAAAATGCACTTAGCTAACCCACACCCAGGGACTTTCTGGCTCAAGGGCTAAAACAGTAGCAGCGGAGGAGGAGGAGGAGGAGGATGCTTCCTTTCAGACCAGGTCTTTAAGTCCTCTTGTGTGCCCTCAGGGTTGGAGCTTGGGCTGGAAACAGGAGACCCAGCTCTGCTTGGCCTCTCTAGCCTGGCTGTCTCTGCACAGGTCCTGGCTCTGGTTTTCTGCCTGTTTTGCGTATGTAGGTGCAT